ATATAAATGTTGGAAAAATACACTATCCTCGATAAGGTGCTTTTAATAGAAATCAATGATTTCATTTAAAATGCTGAAGGTGACATTGAAGAAATGATCTCATCAAAATTTCAAGCACAATATCATAATTTTACTTTCAACACTATAACACTTTTCGAGTTTGTTATTATTTAAACCTTCAGGATCAAGTGCCAGCGTGTACTTGTAATAATAAACAATAATCATACGTTGTTTACTAAGTTTATATAATATTTACAGGGTATAATTAAGATTACACGATTCCTAAATTGATTTTACAATACAACATTGTTTACACCATAGTCGGCTGTTTATAAATGATAGTACTAACTAATAAAAGTAAATGGTTTCAATATCATTTAAGATTAGTGATCAACGATTCCTTTTTAATAATTTAAACTGTCAATAAAAGATAATGAAGAAGGAAATCTGTGGAATTGTATTGTGCGTGAATTGTAGAATGTTTATGAAGAAGTGTACAAAATAAACGTACCGTATTTTTTCGAAACCGTGTAAGAATGTCGCAGGCAACTCCTCGGACTTTATGCACTGTCTTATTTCGCCAACAACATCACAACATCGTGTGTGGAAGGGAGAATCGAGGAAAGTTCAAATATAACGACGTAACTTCAACCCCACTTTTAGTACCACCGCGACGACGACCAGCGACGACGACGCGGACGCAACTGGTCGCTTTAGAAATCGAAAGGTCTGCTGTACCGGCTGTACGTTGTACACATATTCAGTAATCTACTGAAATTATGTGTGTATTTATACACTGTGAATTATGCAGATCGATTTACGATCACCTACTTTTTATAACACACCTATATGTAATCGTCAAATTGAGAGCATACGCAACGATCAGTAGAAGAAACTCAGAATTTATAATTCAGTAGAATTTTTTTGTCGCTATAATTAAATTTTTATTGAACAATTTTTTTACCCTATCTAATATATCGACTTATGAAAGTGAAATAATATTTTGCTTGATTTAGAAATAAGAATATGTAAGATATGTAATAAAAGCGTAGCATAGATGACTATAATTTTGTTCAGTAATAATTATGCACAAATGTTGTAATACGCCACAGTATTATATGTATATATACTTCAAATATACAAAATTAAATTGATTTTTTTTTCAGTGACATTTATATTTAGATGATGTAAGTCGCTTTTAAATATGCAAAGGATAGAGCAAACATTTCAGAAAGCTGCAGTATGTTTTATTATCGACTATTTAACAATTTCTTTGTATTTTATTTTTTTGTTTTAATTGATATGACAAATATAAAGTTAGAATGTTATTAAACGCAACAGTAGAACGTT